CCCGAGAAACGCCACTTTAGGCTCGAATCCGTCTTCTCGTTCTCCATCCATTGTTTGTCATCACCGCGTGAATTACACATTTTCCTTCTTGTGTTACTTTTTACTAACGCAGTGAAAAGAGAAAAACGATGATTTCGTGTCGCTGATTGCACGCAAAGTCATATATGAAAAGTATCTGAGAATTCTTCTCTTATTCTTTTATTGTTTCTATATATTTTATTGTTTCTATCTCGAAAAAACTAGGTTGAATCAAAAGTGTCATATTATATTTGATGATACAATGCTGCGAGAGAGATATTTGTCATTTAAAATGCGCGAATTGATTTAATTAATATACTTGAAGTACTTAATTGTTTAGATTTATTATTTTTAGTGCAGAAGTAATTTAAGAGAAAACCGTCATATCGCGCCAAAGAACGTTATTTTATATAACGGACGATATTAAAACAAACCGCTCATTTAAATTAATAGCTCCGAATAAAATAAAATAAAACTTGAAAATAATGTTTAAAGATAATTAAATAAACTGCTGTATGAATAAAATTATATTATTTAATCATTCTGTGTGTAAATAATTATTAGCTTTGCTCCGCATTATTGCACTTTGATATTTTTAATATTTAATGAACGTTAGTTGATTTACTCTATTGATCTTTCTCATTTTTTTTTTTTTTTTTCGTAACAGTATGCATGAAATGCGAATGGATTTTTGCTCGAAACATTTCGGGCACTAGTTTGTTCTGGCCCTCTTGACATTTCGTTATTTGCGATCGTAGAGATATTACATGACGCCATATCTGATATTTCTGGCACGAAGCAAATATGAATCTCGTTACTGTTGTTACTCGTTGCAGTTGCTCTTACAGTCGCAAATAACATTACTCATTCACCACTGTTATCTAATTAGATCTCGCATTGTCATTGTGGAATATCCGTAGCTGATCGTTCGCACGTTCTTATCGGGGGTGTTGCCACGGATTCCGTTGGTCAAACTTTCGTAGGATTAATCAGTAAGATTAAATCGCAATTGCGAAGATTATTATTCCATAAATTATATGAAAGCGCTATTTGACTCTCATCAGTTTTAACAGTTTTGGTTGTAAATTCATTTATTACCGTTTTAAGTTTATTTCTGACTTGGTCGAGGGATGGAATTTAACCGCGTGTTTGACGTCCCTCGCATGTTCCTCAACGATTTGTCCGTCTGTATAAAATTCCGTTCTGCCCTACCGCCCTTGTCGCGGCACCGATAATTACGAATCGTTTACGTGATATCCGATTGTTATTACAAGGTGCAACGACCTGCGATCGTTTAATACCCTTCCCCTTTTATCGAGCGATCCTAATATCGGCTGCCCTTTTCATTGCTCTATTCAACGCGGACTAATTGTCTTCGTAACGCAAATAAATTCATATGGTATTTACGTAAATCAGATTTGAGGCAGGTTATTTAAAAGGGGAGAATTTTAAAGGTTTAGTTTAATATTTGATAGAAGAAAGATTTAAGCCTACTATTTACCGGCGCTAAAATTTTGGCGCAAAATTGATTTAATGATCAGCTGACCCAAAAACAAGTTATTACAGATAAGGTCGATAATTTCGAAATTGCCTATATTTATAATTTACATTCGCGTGATATGTAACTAATGGTGCTTAATTTTGACTGCTCGCGAATGATCCGAGGCTCGATTTGAATGAAGACGGAATTTGTAATTCAGACAATTTAAAACGATTAATTTTGTAAACGGTTAACTAATTTTATAAGAGAATCGAAATCTAATACGGAATATTTGATGACGGATAAAACAACATATCTGCTATTTCCATTTCTGCTTGATTGACTGCAACTTTCCGATCACGAAAAACTGCATTACGTTGTATTTTATGGTATATTTTTGTCACATTTTCACAATAATGTTTTCTGTCTTTATTAAATCTCAATAGATTTTACGTCATTCCTCATTCGCTCGACATCGATCGGTGCTAAGTTGTATATTTCCAAACATCGCGGTCACTACACAATATTCAAAAACTACTAATTAACTCACCCTCGCGATCCGTTTCGCGACTATTTGGCCACCGTCACTCGAGCGGAGCGCATTTTTTGTATGTCGAAAGGACAATTTAATGGCATGTTTTTTAAGAGCATTAGTTTAATATCCTCGCCGGATATGCGGTGTGGATGGCCGTACACGCCGATGGGGATGCGAACGAAATATTTATCATGCGCTATCTATTTAATCACGCTCCGGTTGTAAACAACGCGACGCGATCCCGCCTCGCTGATGCTGGCCGTTTCCGATCGGCGAACAAATCGGCGCTGATTAGCCGATACACGCCGCGTCCCGCCGCGATGCGAACGAATGTCGGATGTAAGTGGATGTAGCCGCGGTGGTGGTCCAGCGGGCAAATTAATCGATTGTCGACGCTCCATCCGTGTCATCTGTCACGCTTGCAGCACAATATGCGCCGCAACAAGAAGCGTCATCCGGTTTAGTAGCCGACTAAATATAGTGGACACATCATTCTTGCTCTGAGTGATAAGCGCGGTTTCCCATCCGCGCGCGCGCGCGCGCGCGCGCGCGCGCGTCGTGGAGTAAGGAAACGTCCGAGGCGGGAGTAAGGTAAAACTTCGTACGTTTCCGCCCGTACCGGTTCCGACCGTA